CAGGTTGGTCATGAAAACCTGCAGCTGTGCAAGACAGGTGTGTGTTTAAATATGCATTGCTGTCCAAAACTTGTCAGACTATATTCTATAAAGGATAGAGGCAACAAAATGTGGCTTTATTTTGACTCAAAATATAAAATCACGGACTTGAGATTTGCAGTTTGTGGGTTTAGTTTTAATTGAGTGTTTGCTTTGTCTTTGAATTTAAAGCTGTAGGTATAGGTTTGCATGACTGTCTCTTTACTCGCCCGGTGGCTGTTTTGAAACACTAAACATCGCTTAGCTGTTACAGCAGTGTTAATTAGAAAACTGCTTCACTGAGATTCCTGCTACACTATTTCGACAAAGTGGAACATCGCAGAACAGCGTGATGGGATGTAGTGGAAGTAAAAGATCATTAAAACATGGAATGAGACGAGTTGGGAAGGTTTGGAGTCCTAAAAATAGTCTTTAATGTCTTGTAATGTGCTGGTGCTGTAATGGCAAACTTTCAGCTTAATTTAAGTACTGGGGGGGGGGTTACACAATAACATAGCACTACAGAGAATGGCACAGAGTGGCATGATTCAACCTTGTGTGAATGTCACTAGGCACTCTGCTGTAAAATGTCACCGCTAGCACACTGTCCAGCGCAGCACTTAGTAGGAGAAAAAGGCAGAGGCTGTTATTTACAGTAGTTTTTTTTTCTTTGCAGACTGCACCGCTTGATCTCCAGTGAACATTTCTTCTTTTGTTCTTTGTTGTCTTCTCTCATTATTTCTTGCATTTACAGATGGAATTAGGGTTTAATTACCTTTAAGTCAGAAGTCTAGTTAATGTAGCAGTTCTGTTTCCTCCCCCAGAAACATGCACTGTGGTCAGAGGAAGAGAAACCACAAGGAAGCAAACAAGAAATGTGTTGCTGTAGAAACATTAGGAGAATTTAAACATGTAAGCACTTAAACAGATGGATAAGAAGATCTAAAAGGAGGAATGTAATATCACTTTGCTTAAATCCTCACTGTGACAAAGTGGATGAGAACACTCCACTTGTCCATAGGCTAAGTCATGTATGTTTCCTAATGCCTTAACCTGTGTGTTAAATGCTTGTATTTACTAGGTTCATCACTTCCTCATTTTGTATGCTCTCTGATGTCATTAAGGATGTCATAGGGTTGATTGGTACCAGGAGCTACTTAATCAGCTGAGGTGGAGCAGCTGGGAGTATGGCAGTCTAAGTGTAGTGGTGTGCACGTGCCTGTAAGTTGCGTTGAGTTATTTTGAGTTGAGTTTTCTTCAGTTATGTGAAGTTAAGCCATTTAGTTTGTTTAGTGATTTTGTTTGGCATGTGTGCTTTGCTGGCACTTGCGTAAAATAAATGATTGATTTGAGAAAACCTGAGATCTTTTTCGAGTCTGTCTCCTACATTCCTGGCCGCTCAGAGTCAACCTACCACACTCACACATTTGTAAAGTCATGCTTTAAAATGTTCAATTCTGTTTTATTCTTGTTGAATTAAATTTGTTTAATTGGCTGCAGTTCTTTTTATTATAATGGCATGTTTTGCAAAAACCCTCTTAAAACAGCATAAAAAGGGAATTTGAATAATAAAACATTGAATAAATTAAGTGTAAAATTGTATTTTCTTAAGATAAAATCTGCCATTGTGGGAAGAATATCTCAGGTGGTTTTTCAGAGCTAATCAGCTTGTCTAATGGGGATGGATTAAAAGATTGATTTTTTTTTTCTATTGTGATTTTTATTTGAATGATCCACCATCAGTTGTTAAATTTCATCTTTACCTAAGCATCTTTTTTTTTTTTTTTCTTTTCTTTCAGTAAACCTGTCCATCGTCACTAAGTGTAGACAGTGGTTACTTGTTAGTGGTTCACATCATGAGGTATAAAATGTCCACATTGTTCCAGTATGCACAGAAAGGGGTATTTCAAGCTAAAAAGTAATGTAATGTACTGTAGGTGATCACTGGCTTGAGCCATTTTGAGTCATGATTGTCCTATAAACTGATGTGAATAGATACAGTCTGTGTGGACTTATAGGATCTTTATTTATGAGCTGTTTGTTTGAATGTTCTTCTGTATGCAGAAGGACAGATAAAGAAGTAGATAAAGTTTGACGCTGGTGGTTGCCACAGCAGATCTCTATGATCCACATAATATTTGGCACAGGTGTAGAGCCAGATGCCCTTACTTATGCAATCCTGCCATTTTATCTGGGCTTGGGACTAGCACAGAGAGTGCACTGGCTTCTGCAACTGTGCTGGGTGTAGCCACAGCACCTGACCTTCCTGCTTAGTTCCAAACAGTGGATGAGACTGAGTAGGGCCAGGACAGTGTGGCTATATCAATAAGTAAACAAATAATTAGCAAAAATCTCTCTCTCTCTCTCTCTCTTTTTTTTCAACGTTATTATTTGTGTCTGAATAAAACTGGATAGCAACACTGTAAAACAGGGTGGTAAGGAGGTGGTCCTACTTTTTTTCTGCGTGGTTGGTTCATACAGGTATTCCCAATAGGATTCACCACGCTCCTAACGGCACAAACTCACTGGTGGAAAATAATGGAATACAGTATATTTACTAGTGATGCATCGAAATGAAAATTCTGGGCCGAAACCAAAACCGAAAATTTAGGATGCACTTGACCGAAAACCGAAACGAAACCGAAAATGGCTTCTTTTAAAAACTTAAAATTTTTAAAACACGCTTACTCTATAATTGTGTATGTATTTATGTATGTGTGTGTGTGTGTGTGTGTGTATGTGTTATCATTCAATAACAGTTTTATGTAACACTCAAACATTTTAAATTGCTCTGCAAAACGATGCAAAACGGTGCAAAAACAGCAATAGAACTTCCAAATAAACTGTAATATGTTGTATGAGCCTACGAAATCCAATGTCCTCTACGACAGAAAACGGCTGGTTGTCTAAGGCAATGAATTCCATTACTTTCTCAGTAATGCCACATGCTTTGGGACTATCATCTGCAAATTTCTTAGTCTTTTCAAAGAATGTGGCGACCGAGGGTATTTGTGATGTAACTGGGGCACTTTTAACCAATGTTGTTTTGCGGTACTCCACATATTCAATTGGATGTCGTGTTTTCAGGTGGTGTATCAAACCTGTTGTTGAAAAGTTCTTTGGCACCGTACCTCCTCTTGATATTTTCGCAGAACAAATGTTGCATGTTGCAACTTTGGTGTCCTCACCTGAAACTTCAAAATGCTTCCATACCGCTGACATGCTTTGTTGTTGATGGGGAGACGCGTGATATAACAGCTCCAGCGTGAGTGAAACCTAGCCAGTGCTGCGCGAGGATGGGCGGGGCGGGGCGGGGCATTTTCAGCGTGTTTTTTTATTCCGGCCCGAAATAAAAATGGCCTTTTCGGTCGAAAATTTTCGGTGCTTTATTGTAAAAGGGGCGGGGGCCTTTCACATGTCTGTGCCCAGGAACTCACTATCCCATAATCCGTCCATGTCTGTACGTGACTTGTTCAGCACTTCTGCACCACTTGCAAATCTCATTCATACCCAAGTAAAATATGAGAAAATTGGGGAGTGCTACAACTTTTTTTTTGTGTGTTGTACATGACACAAGAATAAATTTGTTTTTATAAGTGGTTCTTGTGTGAGGCGCAGTGTGACAAGTAGGGAGAGGATCCCACCACCGTGTACTCATGGTAAATGATCATGGTGAATTCAGTGGCTCAAATGTTTAAAAGTCCTGTCTGATAAGGATCATGCTGTAGACTGGTTATTATATTGTGGCTGTGGTGACACTTAGATTTGTGGCTTGCAGGTTTGGTGCTGTAGTTGATTTTTATTTAAATTTTTTTTGTTTTGTTTCTCACTGTGTTCCTGATCTACAATGGTTGTGCTTGTGGACAAGCTTTATTGGTGACTGTATCCAAAAAGGTTGCTCATGTCACAGGATGATATCCTTGTTACCAAGCTCAGTTTGTGCTGTCATTGACTTGGGTAATAGAGTCCATGTGGCTACATAATGGAACAGTGAAACCCTTCAGGAAGGCACAGAGAATAGTGAGTGAGTGGAGTTCGTAACACACCAGCCGTGAGGATCTCTTGCTTTGCAGTTGCAACTCTGTTTGCTCCATTTCTTGTCTCACTTCATCATAATGGTTTTCAGGAGCATGGACTCCACTCTTCTTAAAAAATAAAATCAAATTTTTACATGGTTATGCAGCTGTGTGTGTGTGTGTGTGTGTGTGTGTGTGTGTGTGTGTGTGTGTGTGTGTGTCACATGGATTGGAGCTCTGTGTGGTGGGATGCTGTGATAATAAGCCTGACAGCAGACAGAAAGCTCTCATCTTTAGAACTACAGTTTTTTTTTTTATATTTAAACAGTTACCTGTTAGAGAAAAATTACCACGATTGGGGATAGTCTCCTGTCAAAGATTTTATTTTGAAGGAAAAGTAGAGTGTTTTTCTGAAGTGTCAAAAAATATTCCATCATTCTGGTGAGCCAAAGTCAGGTTTTTTTTTAAATTTTTTTATAAATTTATATAAATTTTGTCTGTGACTATTTGAATAATCAGTATGTAATTGAAACCACTTACTGGTTTATTATTAGGCAGTTCTTTGAAAATAGTTCAAGTCTGACTTAGCCCCTGACTGCAAATTAACAAACTGATAATTATTCAGAATAACCACATTAAAATGGCGCTGGGGACAGATTCTGAAGTTCGCTAATCATTGAAATATTTCAATATTATTTGAATTTTGACCACACTAAATAGATGATCTTTAAGACATGGGTTTGGTAACGTGTGAGGGGTATTTGTTATTATTCTTGATCATTTTCAGACAAATAATTGATTAAACAAATGATAGATTGGTTGGTACAGTATATGTAGATTTTTTATTTGCAGCCCACAAGTTAATAGTTCAGACTTGAATATTTTAGATTGAACAACATTGTAAACACTTGGTCATTTTGACATTTTATCTTTTGACTGATGTTTTCCATTTTTGTCTCTTTATAGGAAGTCCATGAAATTCTGAAAGAATATGAGCTGAAGTACTGCTTTGTGGACCGGAACAAAGGCACAGGTACAACTTTTACTTAACAAGACATAATCTCACATACTTGGATCCTTGTACATGTGAGGACCTTCACTAACAATGTGTTACTTAGGCCCAAACCTTTTCCAGCATAACAAAATGCCTGACTGCGATAGACGTATAACAGCGCACACAAGCACACCAGTGTAGTTTTTTTTCCTCAGTTAACCTGTAAACATACAGCCATATCATGTTTGTCATCACAAACTTGTATTGATAGTTACATGGAAAGTTAGAGCAGTAATGATATTTCCAGTGTGCATAGTTTATTGTAGAGATGGTTTGGCAGTCAGGCTGGTGGACAGGTGGATACTTTGGACGCCAGTGACTGCCTCCCAATTCAGTATAAGATTTTTAAACATTTCTGCAAAATAGGTTTTTTAAATAATGTAATTATTTTTGTTTTCAGCACAGTGACTAGCTATATTTAGGCTTAGGACTATACAAGAACTTGGGACTGTCAGTCACATAGAACAAATTGCATCTGACTTGACTCAAATTAAATTTAACCTAAACTTTAAAGGTAATAATAAAATATGACAGAAGTGTTCTGGTTTTTCTCTGTTCTCTCTTTTTTTCCCCATTATTTTAAGGGTTTCTCTCTAAGGATAAGATAAGGGTGTCATATCCTGTACATATTGTAAAGACCCTTGAGGCAAATTTGTAATATTGGACTAGACTTGGTTTCACAGGCTTTAGGGTTTTTCTGTTTTTCAGTTATGGATTTTATTGTTTTTCAGCCATATCTTGCTTTTGGCTGAAGGGAATCAAAATGTCTTTAATCACCTCATGGGGAGTGCAAGTTTGAGGGTTTGTCTCCCTGTCAGTCTGGATGGGCTTCTGGAGTGATGCAGTGTATACTTAAACAGCTGACTAGTAGAATAATTGACAGATGATTTGAGAAGTAGAGGATTAGCATGAGCAGTTAGTGACAGTTGAAGTAGTTTCATACTATTGTAAAGAAAGGTTTTTAAGGCATTGGAGCCGCAGTGGCTTGCGTTAAAACAAACTGAACTCAGTAGAGAAATCTTTTACATTCTGTACAAAACATTCCTGTGTAACTTTGACTGTGTAGCTTTGCACATACTCATTCACACATAGTAATTTTCATATAAACTACACTCCTAAATTGATTCCTTTCACTCTCTTATACACATTTTTAATTACACTTTTAATCCTAAATCAAAATTCTGTCTGTAATGTCTTTGTAGATAAGTGGTTTAAAATGAGTACAGTTATGTGATTTGAGTACATTTGGTCCTCAAGAGTCTTGAGATGGAGCACACACAGAGAGCAGACCCCCTGCCCCTAGAGTGTGTCCCTTTCCAGGGAAGTCTTCCATAGTGCCTATATTTAGCCTCTGTGTAGTCAGCCAAGCACCTGAAACATTATGCTTTTAGAAAGTAGAGGGGAGCTGTAAACAGCTGAGATATCAAAGTGCCAGCTTGTCCAAAAGGTTAATGGTGTGTCAGAGCAAATGAGTCTGATGAAACATGGACCCTTGTTGGACCAGCAGCCATCGTGCTCTACTAATTAGGCCAGTGTGGTGGCGTGGGGCTCTGATGTACTGTGGTGAGTGAAGTGGGATGAGAATCCAGCGTCGCCATAACAAAACCATGACAATGCAATGGCACCACTTTTCTTTCTGTTTAATTTTTTCTCTATCTCAGTCTCACTTAATGCTCTTTATCTCACTCACTGTCACTCTCTCCGACACTGGCACAACACTGTCACTCACTGAAGTCCCTGTTTTACACCAGAACCAACAAGTGAAATCCTCGATCTGGATACTTATGTCTGTATTGTGAGTATGTAGCTGGAGTGAGCCACTGGTTTTCTTAGCTTAGCATAAAGCTAAGGGGAAATAGTCTGACTTTGCCCAAAGATAACAAAATCTGCCTAATAGCACCTCTAAAGCTTACTAATTAGCCTGCTGTCTTGTTTGGTTTTGGTATAAATTAAAGTGTAAAAACTTGCCAGCTGTTGGCTCCAGCTTGAAATGTACTATACACAAGAAAAGAGAGTTGTATCAATCTTTTCATTTAACACCTGGCAAAAAGCGAATATATCACCAGAGTTTGAGTGAGTGCTTTTGACATGATAGCATTGACTATGGGTCAGGTTTGAGTTTTGTTAGCAGTTGTCCTGTGCTATACTCAGGCCTAAATGAACTGGGTCAAAATTTTAGGCCTGTGGAGATGAGACTTGAGGCTAACGTGAGGCTCACTCTCAACAGGTGGTGAAAGTGAGAGACAGGGATGCACAGAGGGATCATAACGAATCCCGTTTCATTTTGTTGCCAGGCTTCCACAGAATTATCCATAAAGCAGTTGTAGCCCAGCTAAGTAATCCGTTCATCCATGTTTGATGCAGTGTGCCCAGCTTTAACAAAGGAAGCTATTGACATGTCAGTGGGTTCACTCATGTTTCCTCACATGGCTGAATTGGAAAATGTTTAATTTTCTTTGATATGGAATTATGTGCTTTTTGATGATTGTTCAACAAATTCAAATTGGGCACACCTTTTAAGACTCTATACCTCTCATGACATTTGTTTAAAAGATTTTCCTGTTAATAGAGAAAAACGCATCACAATATTCAGAGACAACAAGAGGCGATTGGTTTTGTTTCATTGTGATGCAGACCTACAGCAGAAGACAGATTATCCTAAAATATGAAATTGGTTTTATATTGGTATTAGATCATTCTGTGGCTGTTTCAGCCGCTGGGCTCTGTAATAAATGCACAATGAAATATTAATCATATGAAGGAAATGGAAATTTCCTTTGGAAACTTCGTTTTAAGGATTTTCACATAAAGGTCTTAATGTCAACTGAGATTATTTTTCTGTTTAAATTTTTATGAGATTAATATTTTTATACCAAACCACTGTCTGTTGTCCAACATGTAAAACAGTGCTTGTTTTGGTAATTCATAGAAAATTGAGACTTGTAGTGGTAATCAAGATTAAATGGAAATATGCACTGTTATAAATCAACAATGAATTTGTTCAAAACATTTGTGCTACACTATGAGCAAAAACAATGAGCTATAATAAAATGTCTCTCATCTAACACGTTTTAAGCAGAGAGAATGTGTCCCCATAGAGGTGGTATGCCACATTCAGACACTGCAGTATAGATGTTTTTTACCAGATCATCCACAGTCTGATGTTTTTCATTATCTTCAAACATCAGTTCTGGTATTTAAGAAACCTGTATAGGTCAGGCTCTGCTGCCAAGGAGGTAGAGATCAAACATGGCATCATTTGGGGAACAGAGAACAGCTACATGGTTTCATATTGGCAGAGAGAGTTATAATTGGTGTGAAATGCAGGCATATTCCCCGAGCAGACGAAAAACACAGTCAAGCATGCACAGTGTTTTTTCATTGCTAAGTTGGTCATTTGGGAGTGTGAGAATCTTTGTTTTTAAACGTGTGTGTGTGTGTGTGTGTGTGTGTGAACTCCTTTTAGTGGTGAGTCCATTATAAAGCGGAGAGGCACAGACGCCTGTTTTATTTTGACTTTGTGTGTTCATGCAGTGACTCGCTCAGTGGTCTTTTTTTCTTGTGAGAACTGAGATGTTTCTTTTTGGAAGTCATTTGGTTGACTGTGCTGTGATCAGTCACTGAAATGCCAATTTCCATGTATAGCTACATTTTGTGCAAAGTCAAAAAACACTTAACTGGTTTTCACTGCAAGTTTGAATAAATGGCTAATTGTGAGTGGTATCATTTTTTTTTTGTGTTTATGGGGTTAACTAGGTCGCAGAGAGATGAATAGGAAAGAGGGGAGGCGGGGTAAAGGACATGTGACATAGGTCGATGGCGCGACGCGATCCGGCGACGTTTTTTATATACACACACACACACACACACACACACACACACATTGCCTGCATACACGGTGCACCACACTGTAACCACGGAGCCCCATGGCCACTACTCCTAGTATTCTCCTAACCAGTGTTGCAAATGTGTTGCAACTTAGCTTAGTAGTCTACTGATGCTCTTCAACTCTCTGCCATCTTAAGTCTTGTTCAGGAAATTCGCCTTAATTGGAAATCATCTGAGCAGTCACTTTTGCTGCAGTGATCACAGGTAAACTGACTTGTGTTGCAGTCATTCTCATCCTCTGCTCAGAAAACTGTTGGCATGCGTCTGCACCTCATGACCATATCAGTTCACTGAGCCAGCCTCCGCTGTTGGTCTTATTAGGGCATACTGATGGCAATGTTTGTGTCTGTCAGTGTGTCCTCTAGTGCACACATCTGTGGTAACGCGTGTGCTTAAGCATCTCGCTGTGTGCAAGAAGTTCAGTGTCTCCGTTTGTGGCTTTGCTTCAGGCTGTTGCCTCAGCTCCTCGGCTAATGATGACTTTAAACATCCGCCATACCAACATACACGTAACGCATGTAGGCGCCACCTCTGTTGGTTCCTCCTTTGTCCTTCCTGCTCTACCCCTGCTACTTAAAAAAGTATCTAATCCTGTCATTGTGCTTTGATTACATGCCTCCTTCCTTTGGCCTCTCGTTGCCTCTTTTTCACACTGCTTTCTGTCCTTATGTCCTTCCCTTACTATTAACAAATTGCAGGCACTTTACTAGCAGCTTGTTACCCATGCTGCCTATGACCCGCTTCTTCATACTATCTTGTGGGATTGCCAGCACTGGAAAAAATCTGTTGAAAGCAGTTTATGAACTGGCCATAAATTTTGCATATTCAGATTCCTGCTTTGTTGATGTGTAAATTTTGGACTTCACATCCAAAATGTCTCAATTCACCTGTTGCCAGAGGCATTTGATAAATGATGCCGTTTTTCATTAAATTTGCTTGTCCACTGTTCATGTTTAAACTTAATATGTACATTAGATTTTTCTTGGTTTTATCAGAACAGAGAAAACAAAATTCATATGTAAATGTATAGCCTCGTGAGGTTTAATTATTTAATTCTCATTTTGAGCTTCTGTCTTACATGATCCATTTCC